TATATATTATGCTATGTATTCTTTATTCTAAGGAGTTACTCTCTTTTACAGAGAAGGTGAATAGCATCATCCTGTTAAGAAACTGGTATGAGACTTCCTATGTTGGTAAGATACATGAGACTCTGTGTAACAGTGATTATATATTGTTATTAAGCATCATTGTTTAAAAGCTATATTGTTATAAAGCATGGCTGTATTTTATACTTTTACAATGTTGTACTTCTATAGTTCTTTGTTCCTGAGGAAGGACCAGGAGTCTGAAACACTATAAACTACCTAGGAAAAGTGTTGGATATCTTCTCTGGACTTGACTGTTTCCCTTCAAGGATTCTGTGGATTTTTCATTCCCATATGTAATATTTGTTACTGATCTTGCTAATTATATGCTGCTTTTCACTTTATTGAAGTCTCTTTTTGTACATTTATACTTGCGGGTATTTCAGCTCACAGTTGTTTTGGTGTTCCTGGCTATATTAAACTGTGTGCTGTATAGTTTGTAGCTAGCAGCAGCTGCCTAATAACTCACTGATGCGCCTGTTCCACTGGTATTTAAGGCCTAGGCCAGGGTGTGCCCAAAGGCATGAGCCAAAGAGCTCCTGTTCTTCAGGTCACATCTTGGGGTGGCAGGAAGATCAGTCAAGAGACAGAGGAAGACCTGCTCTATATTCAGACACCTCCCTGTTGCCCCCTTTCTCTTATTGATTTCTCTTGTGTTTTTTTATTTTATATTGCCAGCCACTATTGGGTCCCCACTGAGGAGAGAAGTGGGATATAAACAAACAAAAACATAAATAAAAATTTCAGTCCAAATATCACATCCCCCTGCATTCCTCAGCAGACATCACTAAATCCCTATCCCCAATGAACATTGTTAGTCCCCTGTCTAATGTGTAACTGTACATCGCTTTGAGCCCACTGGGGAAAGCGATTAATAAATTGAAAGTTGTTGTTGTTGTTGTTATTATTATTCCCAGCTGTGCCCCCGATCCCCCAACTGCCGATTTTGTAGAAATCTTTGTGTTTTACCACTGAAACAGCTTCATAATACAGATATAAAATGTTGTGCTTGTAGATGGGCAGTTGTCTTTCACTGTACCCACCCTACTAGCAGAAAGAGGAAGTTGGCATGTGGTTCTTCGGGTAACTGCCGCATGACTTCCCTCCCAATGCCATTCCTAGTTCAGCCAAACAGCTGTCTCAAGTTCGCCTTTATTGGCATAAAAACGGCTGTCTCAGAAATACCTGTCACTGGCTTTTATCCGGCCACTCTGTTCAGTCACATCTGAAGTCTTTACTTTACTTTATTATTAATACAGTCATTGACCAGCATAAATCATATAAAAACATTCACAACAAAATCTTATGCACAATATATACACAGCAATATTTAAAAGTTTAAAACAGTTAAAATTCTGGTATACTTCGTAATATCTCTTGGCGTAATTTATACACAGCTGATAAGAATCTCGCACTGGGAGCGGTAACTATTGGGTTGTTACCCATGAGAAGCATTTTGCAAAACTCTGTATCAGAGCGACCCGGATATTTCTTAAGAAGGGGGGAAATAGTCTTTATATGGATTTCATGATAAAAACGGCAATGTAATGTTCGATTGTTTCAACCTCACCATCCCCGCAAGGACAAACCCTCTCGTGCATGGGAATCTTTCTAAACCGCCCTTCTAACACTGCAGAGGGGAATGCTTGCCATCTGGCTAGAGAAAATGCCCTCCTTTGGTCTGGAATCTCCAGTTGGGAAAGGTACATCGCTGGTGCTACCTTATATTTTGTGTGATCTGAGGCCAGAAATTCTGGTGCTTTATTAATATCATTCTGTCGTTGAATATCCAGCATCCTTTGTTTGAGTACTGCCTTTGCTTGATCAAAATTCATTTCTAAGACAGTCACATCTGAAGTCTTCTTCCAGCCCAAGGAGCCTTCCTGCAATGGAAGTAGCTCTTCTCCTTGTGGAGCTGATTCTTGCTGGGTAAAAAGTAGTTTCTGGCCCTACCTTGCAGGAGGGAGAAAAAAGACCAGAAGGAGATGGGGCAGAAACAGCACCAGGGCATCAGGGGTAAACTGAAAGTTTAATTGAGAACTTTACTCTCTCTGACCAGATAGCAAAAATTAAGGTATATGCTCTAAGATAGCGTAGGGTGCATCTGCTTGCGGTTTCCTCTCAAGTATTGGGTATATTTGCAAGAATATACAAGACAAGAAGCAAAAGTAAAAGGTGACAGAAATAGAATCACAAGTCTAAATGCAGCATTCCAGTGACTTGCACATAGAGACAAATGGAACTGGTATAATAACCAGTGTAAAGAAATATAACCCCAACAAAAAAGGAAGAACAAGTGATCTGTTCCATAAGGTTCAAGAAATCAGGGGGA